GGCAAAGGATCAAAGTCTGGAGTTTGCCATCTCAAAGATGGTAATACACTATTAACAACTAAATCTGAAATTACCAACAAGCTTGGTGAAACAGGAGCAAATCATTCCTCATCAATCCAATTATAATCCTCAATCTCAGAGGTCTCAAAAACAACAGGAAAAGAAATAAGTCAATTTTAACTCTGATAATGCTGATGGTTACAATGAAACTTTTTCACTCCAAGAATTGCATACTGCCCTAGGGTAAGGTCATGACACTGCAGCAGGAACTGACAACATTCATTATCAGCTCCTGAAACAATTGTCCGATTCATGTTTGGAAACTTTGATGAAATATGGACAACCGGAAATTTTCCTCCTTCGTTGTACAATGCTATTATCATTCCTATACCAAAGCCTGGATTGGATCATACAGATCCATCCAATTACCGTCCAATATCATTAACTAGATTAATCTGGTACTGGAGACCAACAACCACCAGTGACATCCAGTGAGGATAAAAAACAACAGAAGTACCATTGACCATTGGTGCGTTTAGAATAATTTATTAAAAATTCCATTGTCAACAAACAACATACTGTATCAATCTCTTTTTACCTATAGAAGGAATATGATACAATGTGGAAACATGGTATTTTAAAAGATTTGCATGAATTTGGATTGAGGGACAGATTACCTCAGTTATCTTATCTTGTTATTATACAACAGACAGTTTCAAGTACGAGTTGGCTCTACACTGTCTGATCATTTCGACGAAGATCAGGGCAGCATCTATCTGTCACACTTTTTGGCTTAAAAATTAATGCCAGTGCCATTGGTCTCACTAAAGTTTGAAACAATTATTTTTTATTTTTCATTTTTGCAGATGATTTCAACATTTCTTCTTGTAGTAAGAATATGAATATCATATAAAAACAGCTTTGTCTTAAAAAAATTAAAAATGGGCCAATGAAAATGGCTTAAAATTTTCTAAATCAAGGAACAAACTGTATTCAGTTTTGTCGTAAATAAAAGATCCAAATACCAGATCAAGGTAGTAGAGGAGGCCAAAATCCTGGGCCTCATATTTGACCGTCATCTCACACTCTTACCACACATCAAATATCTGAAGGCTCTTGACTTGTTGTTTCAAATTCTGTGTGGGGAGGGGATCAGACAACCCTCCTTCACTTATACAAATAGTTCATACACTCCAAACTAGACTATTGTTCCATTGTCTGTGATGGAGCCTGCAAAAGCAATTTAGAAAAATTAGACACAATACACCAGTAAGGCCAAAGGCTCAGTCTTGGAGCTCTTAGGACCTCTTCTGTGGACATTTTGTATGTGGAAGCTGATGAACCTTCCCTCGAACAACGCCGCATTAAACTATCACTGCAATACATCACTAAACTGCATTCCAGTCAGTCAAACCCAGCATACAACTGTGTTTTCAACCATCTTTAAGCAAACCTGTATCAAAATTTTCAAGCCTGGTTCCACTTCTTTGAATCTGAATTTAACCAGACATCACTGCAGACTAAATATACTTAAATATACCCAACAACAAAAGTTCCTGTGACACCAATATTTAAGTGTATTTTTCAATTAAGTAAAGTTTGGTTTTCAATATTGTAGTACATGTATTGAATTAAGTCACAAAAACGCAACTGCTACAGAAAAGCATGCATTCCATGCAAAAGTTGACTTTTATGCAAGCCCCATGCATTTCACTACCCAAGAATGGGTATAAAAACATGTGCGTTAACAGGATTCCATATGCATTGTTAAGCATCGTGGACAACAACCACTCAGAAAAACAACAAAATTACGCATTTATTCAACATTACGAAATGAGGGTCTGCGAGCCATTGGTATGCTTGAAGCAGGGTCAAGTAACCAAAAATCGACAAGACAACTGGATTCGAACAACACACCTATGAAATCTATTCCAGCCAGCAACAGTGACTGCAAGAAGCATCCCTAGCCTTCGACGAATATCTTCACAAACCATACGTCGTTGCCTCAGATGTGCAGGGATTGTCGCCAGAAGACCCGCCAGGTGTCCCATTTTGACAGGAAACCACCGTCAAGCACATCTACAGTGGTGCAGACAGCGTCTACGCTGGATGGCCATGCACTGGGGACAAGTTCTATTCACTGACAAGTCTCGTTTTCACCTCAGCCACAGCGATGGACGAATTCGAGTGTACCGATGTCGAGGTGAACGTTACGTCAATCATTGTGTCATGGAAGAAGATCGGTTCGGGGGTGGCAGCGTTATGGTATGGGATGGGATTACAGCAAGACAGAGGGCCCGTTTGATAGTGGTAGAGGATAATCTCAATGGACAGCGCTACCGCGAAGAGATCATCAGCTCTGTTCTACCGTTTTTGCGTCGTAGTGGGCCAGGCCCATGACCTTTCAACATGACAACGCCCGGCCTCATATTGCTTGACTTGTTCAGGATTCTCTTTAAACAAAACAACGTGAATGTCATCCCCTGGCCGGCTCGCTCCCTTGATCTCTCACCAATCAACACATGTGGGATGAGATGGATCGGCGCCTTCGACCTCAACCACATGTTCCACAGACACGCCAGCAACTTCAAACATGCTCCAGCAGATATGGACAGATATCCCACAGGACTTTGTGCGCCTGGACCATTCCATGAGACAAAGATGTGTTGCTTGCATCGCAACCAGAGGTGGACACACACGCTATTGATTTGTAAATTGACATTTTGGCATGTTCATGTTTTTTATGAAATCACACATTTTCTAAAGTCAGTATGGCAAATTAAACCATTTGAACACTTACAGGAGTCTTTTATCTGTTGCAAACCGAAATTGTTTCAGATTTGGTAAAAAACATAACTTTGCATTCAATCTTATTCAATGTCACAGGAACTTTTGTTGTTCAGTATATTATACCACCCTACCTACTTCTGTCTTCTCCTCCCTGGCAGATGGTGAAGCCAGAGGCAGACCTCACTGTAACCCAGCTAACCCATCTTCTTTTTAGATTCATTGTCATGCCTTGAGGCACTTAAAAGTGTCTCCTTAATTCACCCTATAATCTTAGACATAGTTTTCTATTATGGGGGCATAAAAGGTAACTCAAAAGCCAATGCTGCAGCTAAAGCAGCACTTGACAAACCATTATCTCCACTCCTTATCCCGTACAGAGATTTCAAACCAGCCATCAAACATTGTACTCGGGATCTCATGCAAAAGAGGTTGGACACCCAGGTAGGAATCAATAAACTTCATGAATCTAAACCAACAATCGGTCATATCTACTTGGGTTGTCAGTCAATACATGATGAGGTTGTTTTACAACGATGTACTTAGTCTTGGCCACAGTCAGTTTACCTACGAATATCTGTTTAAAACAGATGAGGATGAAACTCCTAAGTGTATCACTTGTGATGAAAGGGTCACTGTCAAGCAAAAATTGCTTCACTGTGTGGCCATTATTAAAGCGTAAATCTGAAAGATCTCATATTAATTTCCTTGAAAGAGAGTGGTCTGTATAATAAACTTTAAAATATGTATTTGTGAATAGTTAATTACTTGTTTTTAGATTTGGTTTGATGATTTTAACAACTGCTATAGTGAAGGCTCTGTCCAGGATTGTTCCCCTGTGTGAAACTATCATGAACCAGTATTTTAAGCAAACTCATTGTTGAATATATTTTATTATTGGCTAGTATTGTACACAACCACCAGTGACTAAACTGATGACGAGAGTCCTGCTGGGTATCATGCAGGAAGCAAAGGTACTGTAAGTCCCCATGATCCCCAGCGAGGTGGCCTAGCTTTGGTTATTGGTGGCCTGTAGCCCAGGTTTTAAACTGTATGAATTCTATTGTTATGCCCAAGTGTGTTTGATGAAATTTGTTTTTAAATATAACTTTGCATTCATGACTCACTACTGGATATTTCGACTTGGTCTTTTAACTCTAACTCACTCACTCATTAAGCTTCGGAAGACATGGTTTTGTCATTACATTAAATTGTGTCATACATATGATAAATACAGTGAATAATATGAATTTATTAGCTTTTTAATTATTACTTTAAAGTCTCCTATGGTAAAACCATATATATACTGGTATACGAAATACCGTCATAAATAGTTGAAGGTAGACCTACGTATATATATAATCATTAAATGTGGAGTATGTATCCAGCAATCAAAGTGTGCAGAGTGTATGTGTCATGTAACCTTGGACAGGCAAACCCATACCGTATGTTGAAGGAAGGATTCTTCTTGGCACATGATGGCAAGTAGCTACTTGTCACAAGACAGTGGGAAGATTGATTTGATACTTCATCATACTGAACACCTGTCACATAACCATCCTCAAAAAAGCTTGAGTGAGCTCCTTCCTTGCCAACAGTGTCATGGTCAAATGTTTTACAGCTCAAAACCAAGTAGTTATGCTGGACTTTCTCTGTAAACTTGTGGAAAACACAACTGTTGGCATTCCACCCTGTCAGACTGTAAGGGTTTGGGACAAGGTCTCCCATAGGAGTTACCAACTTAAGCACACCTTGCTCACCATCTTTGGTCGTAGAAATGCCGTTTTCTAAGTAACCCATTTTAAATGTCACTTTTACATGTTCAGGTAGGTCTGCTATATTAACTGATATCAGTAAGTCATGGTCTCTGAAATACTTGGCATGACTATACTTGGGAAATAACTAAGGGGCTGATAATGCAGACTTGTTGGAACAGGCTATAGATGTGATATTTAATTGGTGAGATGGAAGGTCAAGGTAATGTAGCCAAAAGTGAGTGTTATAATTACCCATCTGCATTGTTCTTCGGGTGAATGAAAAGGAGGTAACAAACGTGGTCAGTGTAAATGTGAATTTTGAGATACTTTTACTAGACATGATGATTTACAATTCAGTTGTATTTTCTGTTACACAAGGCATTTCTTTTTATTTGCAGAGGCATGCAGAATACCAGACTTGTATGTTCTATGTTCATTATGTTTTGACTTTCACAGGTATGGAATTGCCAGGCGGCTCAATAAAAGTAACTGAAGATTCTGTGAGCAACAAAACTGGCTATGGCATTACACAGCATGGAGTTACTGCTCATTTTCTTCGCGCCAAAGGCTTTGACTGGTTACTGGAAGAAGAAGATTTGGATGAAGAAGATCAGAAACCATTACTGTGAGTAATCCATGTTGCTGTATCACCTAACCAATTGTTAAATGGTTGAGACGTGCTTGCTCTGGTCAAAGGTATATTGGTACCTTATGCACACAAAAAGTGTTTTGATTTGATCTTAAATGACACAATGACACGACTTTGTAGCTCACTTGACTGAAAGTCAAGTGATCTTTTTCATGGCATCTTTGTCTGTTAAGCATTGATAGGTACGTTACAAGCAAAAAACGCTATCGAATGTCTCGGCGCACTTCCCACGACCCCCAAGTTTTATTCCCCCATCTTTCTTGTCCCTAAAACGGACAGTTTAAAACTACAGCTCATTTTCAACATGAAGACTTTCAACGCTACGTACCTCGAAACCCCGCCACATTTTCGCTTTTCGTAAGAGGCAACTAATGGGAACAGGATCATTCCCACCCAATGTCTCCAATTCATAGGAGCCCTGTTCGACACTTAGCAAGGTCTGATGTTTGTTCTCCATGAACAGTGGGTGACTCAAACAGCCACTTCAACTGCGCCAATGGCAACAACTCCTGGGGCTCCTAACATAGTATGGGGTTGACTACATTTGCAACCTTTTCAATGTTTTCTCGCGCCCTCTATCAGGATCAATGATTGCCACACGCTGATCTCTCTATCTTTAATGGTGGCTGGTCAGGTCGAAGGTTTACGACAGGGTCTACTTGACACCATTCGTCGAGTCCCTCCATCTGTTCGTAGACACTTCAACCATCAGTTGGGGAGCACATTTTCAAGATCGGCAAGTAGCAGGGCGGTGATCCAATTTAGAACATTGCCTTCACATCAACAATCTTGAGTTCAAGGCCACCATTCTCGTTATTTCGCATTGGTTGAACCTCCTCCATTCCCCCTCCCTCAAGATCCAGTCAGACAACGTGGCGGTTGTGTGGTCAATCAACAGGATGGGATCCACAAAATCAATGTCCCTACTCTCTAGTTCTGTCTCTGATGTCCCCTGGTTAGTGTATAGTTCTGTCTCTGATGTCCCACTGTTAGTTGATATTTATGTCTTTGATGTGCCCTTGTCACAGGATAGTTTTGTCTCTGATGTCCCCTTGTCACAGGATAGTTTTGTCTCTGATGTCTCCTGGTCACAGGATAGTTTTGTCTCTGATGTCTCCTGGGTAGTGGATAGTTCTGTCTCTGATGTCTCCTGGTTAGTGGATAGTTATGTCTCTGATGTCCCACTGTTAGTTGATATTTATGTCTCTGATGTCCCCTTGTCATAGGATAGTTCTGTCTCTGATGTCTCCTGGGTAGTGGATAGTTCTGTCTCTGATGTCTCCTGGTTAGTGGATAGTTCTGCTTCTGATGTCCCCTGGGTAGTGGATAGTTCTGTCTCTGATGTCTCCTGGTTAGTGGATAGTTCTGTCTCTGATGTCTCCTGGTTGGTGGATAGTTCTGTCTCTGATGTCCCCTGGTTTGTGGATAGTTCTGCTTCTGATGTCCCCTGGTTAGTGGATACCTCTGCCTCTGATGTCCCCTGGTAAGTGGATAGTTCTGCCTCTGATGTTCCCTGGTTAGTGGATAGTTCTGTCTCTGATGTCTCCTGGTTAGTGGATAGTTCTGCTTCTGATGTCCCCTGGTTAGTGGATAGTTCTGCCTCTGATGTCCCCTGGTAAGTGGATAGTTCTGCCTCTGATGTTCCCTGGTTAGTGGATAGTTCTGTCTCTGATGTCCCCTGGTTAGTGGATAGTTCTGTCTCTGATGTCCCCTGGTTAGTGGATAGTTCTGTCTCTGATGTCTCCTGGGTAGTGGATAGTTCTGTCTGATGTCTCCTGCTTAGTGGATAGCTCTGTCTCTGATGTCCCCTGGTTAGTGGATAGCTCTGTCTCTGATGTCTCCTGGTTAGTGGATAGTTCTGCCTCTGATGTTCCCTGGGTAGTGGATAGTTCTGTCTCTGATGTCTCCTTGGTAGTGGATAGCTCTGTCTCTGATGTCCCCTGGTTAGTGGATAGTTCTGTCTCTGATGTCTCCTGGTTAGTGGATAGTTCTGCTTCTGATGTCCCCTGGTTAGTGGATAGTTCTGCCTCTGATGTCCCCTGGTAAGTGGATAGTTCTGCCTCTGATGTTCCCTGGTTAGTGGATAGTTCTGTGTCTGATGTCCCCTGGTTAGTGGATAGTTCTGTCTCTGATGTCCCCTGGTTAGTGGATAGTTCTGTCTCTGATGTCTCCTGGGTAGTGGATAGTTCTGTCTGATGTCTCCTGGGTAGTGGATAGCTCTGTCTCTGATGTCCCCTGGTAAGTGGATAGCTCTGTCTCTGATGTCCCCTGGTTAGTGGATAACTCTGGCTCTGATGTGTTCTGGTTAGTGGATAGTTCTGTCTCTGATGTCCCACTGTTAGTTGATATTTATGCCTCTGATGTCCTCTTGTCACAGGATAGTTCTGTCTCTGATGTCCCCTTGTCACAGGATAGTTTTGTCTCTGATGTCCCCTGGTTAGTGGATAGTTCTGCCTCTGATGTCCCCTGGTTAGTGTATAGTTCTGTCTTTGATGTCCCCTGGTTAGTGGATAGTTCTGTCTCTAATGTCTCCTGGTTAGTGGATAGTTCTGCCTCTGATGTTCCCTGGTTAGTGGATAGTTCTGTCTCTGATGTCCCCTGGTCAGTGGATAGTTCTGTGTCTGATGTCTCCTGGTTGGTGGATAGTTCTGCCTCTGATGTCCCCTGGTTAGTGGATAGTTCTGTGTCTGATGTCCCCTGGTTAGTGGATAGCTCTGTCTTTGATGTCCCCTGGTTAGTGGATAGTTCTGTCTCTGATGTCCCCTGGTTAGTGGATAGTTCTGTCTCTGATGTCCCCTGGTTAGTGGATAGTTCTGTGTCTGATGTCTCCTGGTTGGTGGATAGTTCTGCCTCTGATGTCCCCTGGTTAGTGGATAGTTCTGTGTCTGATGTCCCCTGGTTAGTGGATAGCTCTGTCTTTGATGTCCCCTGGTTAGTGGATAGTTCTGTATCTGATGTCCCCTGGTTAGTGGATAGTTCTGTCTGACGTCTCCTGGGTAGTGGATAGCTCTGTCTCTGATGTCCCCTGGTTAGTGGATAGTTCTGTCGCTGATGTCCCCTAGTTAGTGGATAGTTCTGTGTCTGATGTCCCCTGGTTAGTGGATAGTTCTGTCTCTGATGTCCCCTGGTTAGCGGATAGTTCTGCCTCTGATGTTCCCTGGTTAGTGTATAGTTCTGTCTCTGATGTCCCCTGGTTAGTGGATAGCTCTGTCTCTGATGTCTCCTGGTTAGTGTATAGTTCTGTCTCTGATGTCCCCTGGTAAGTGGATAGTTCTGTCTCTGATGTCCCCTGGTTAGTGGATAGTTCTGTCTCTGATCTCTCCTGGTTAGTGGATAGTTCAGTCTCTGATGTCCCCTTGTCACAGGATAGTTTTGTCTCTGAAGTCCCCAGGTTAGTGGATAGTTCTGTCTCTGATGTCCCTTTGTTTATGGATAGTTCTCTGCAGTGTTCAAAACAGATCTGCCCGTATACCCGAGGGTGACTTGTTCTCACAATGATAGTTTTACATTTGAGCCAGCCCTTACAGCCTGCAGTTTATTTTAATCTGTAAAGATGGTAAATGATTAACAAGACTGATATTCCCTGGTGAAACAGGGCAGAACTTAAAAAGTAATCTGTCCTTGACTCTTTCAAAACATCAGCACTGTGTATCGCCCACACCATAGCCACGTCCAAATAATATACAGTTTCATAAACCTACCTGTCATATCATTCATTTATTAAATCTATCAGAAATGTCAGAAAATATTCGTTTCTTTTCAATTTATCATTTAAGAAAGGATTTAAACTTCAGAATAAAGCAGAATAAAGACGTTTCAAGCAAATTGAAACTTAATAAAGTAATATACAAAATCAACAAATATATTTCTAAAAATTGTCAAAATTACATCTAAGTTACTGTTAGTTGGTCCTCTTAGGGTTATAATTAATTTTAATATATATACAGTAAACTAAGGTTATAACAAACTCAAAGGGACCACTTATTTTAATTTATTATATCCGTTGTTTGTTAATTGAGGGTGTTATTTGAGGACACGGTGTTTGTACTTAGGTGTAGATCAATTGCCTTCAATTGTTTATTGCTGCTTTGAACAGCCACACTTGCCCGCGGATGTTTTGATAGGCAGATTGGTGAGACGCAAGGAGCTCAGCTCAGGGATTAACCATTTGTTATACACTTAAACATTATCGTTGACAGAGTACACACAGGACTTCAAGGTGAGTTCGCTATATCCGTTATTGAGGTATAGGTATTATATGATAAAATATACAGCAGTTGCCGGGGCCAAACGAACAGTTTGTTATATCTGTCAGTTAGTTATAAGCATAGTCGTTATAAACATTGTTTACGGTATAGTAATGCTGCAACTAAAATAAAACGATATTGGAATGTATTACTCCTGATAAAATAAAAGTTTTAGATACAATTCTTCCAATCATTTAACAAAATTCTTTAAAATTATATCATTGGGTACTTTTAAACCGAATCACCGGTAGATTCAGATAAACATGTGTACAGCTGATCGATACTTCCGGCTTAGACAATACAGATGGTAATTTTTTATCTCTGTGTATAAAACAATGCCCAGCAGAATAAGAAATACAATTTAAATGGTAAATCATCATGTCTCCTGATATTTTATCTCAATTTGTTATACCTGTTCGTTCACCTGAAATCACTGAAGGGTAGACAGAGCAAGCATGTACTGTTGTGTTGGTCATCTACCCCCTACGACTCTACATCGACTAAACTGCTGATCATCTATACAGAGCTCCAGATAAGCTGCGTATCTGCGTGAAATACGCATCACAAATGAAGAAAGACGCAGTAAAATAAAATCCAAGCGTATCAAATACGCAACGAACATAACAGATACACTACAAAAATAAAACTTGTGCGAATCATCGAAATATTGTGAAGTAACCCTGCGTATTCGATTAGCAAATCAGCAACTTATTTTGAAATTATAAACGG